GCTCATGAGGAGTTCCAGTTGGGTTTTGCCATGGGGTTGTCTCAACCATGGGAGAGGCACCAGGAAGATTTCGGGAGTTATATGATGGGGTCCTTGAACGGAATCCTGATGTGGATGTTCTTGGATTTGTCCCCAGTTGTTTGTGGTATTGTATGCCATGCATTTCATACTATGTTATTTGTTGCACATTGAGTGAGCCATGGGGTGGAGTGATCCTCTAGTACCCTTGGTTTACTGAGATATATTTGTATATCTCACCCCGCGTTTGGGGATATCATTTCAGGTTAGGTTGAGCCTGGACGTGTGGAGCATGAGGTGCACATGGAGGGCATAGCATGTTAAAGGATTTTATCGAATACACCTAGTATAGTGTTTAATACTTTGGACTTAGGTTATGAGCTTGTGCATGTGGATATTGCCATGTTTTTGTATATTCATGACTATAGGTAAGTCTTTCAAAAATGGATGTATAACTATGCCTTGGATTTATATGTATATTCTGTGTGAGCATGGGATTTGTCCATAGCCACCTATGATGTATTTGAAGCATGTATGATATGATGGAAGGGCCTTAGGCCTATTTTAGGATTGATTATATGTATGGTTATAACAAAGTCATGCAATTGAACTTGATGATTGAAACATAATAACCATCGTATATGTAAAATAAACTGTGATGGGTTGTAAGTGCCCCAAGGCTAGTTGGTTCTTGTGTGTGCCACCCATTTGATTTTATGTACCTTGATGTCTTAGGTTACCTTGGCAAAGATTGGGGATTTTATAAAAACAAAGGGAACTCTGGCGAATTTTCGGAAAATTGGCATATTTTAGGTGAACTTTGGGAGAGCGTACCTCCCTCCACAGTGGTCCAATAGGGACGTGCCATACGCCATTTTGAAGATGAAGTCACCCATTATTCTGGGTCAAAATTTGGGATTAATCGGAGTTAGGAATTGGGCTGTAAGAGGTCGGGAACACGGGTCCTCAGTCGGCTCCTACACAGGTGCATGATGCTGTTTGGAAAAATTTCCCAGTAGGGTGGCGCCACTTGGCGCCATGGATCTGTCTATTTCGTAAATTTGCCAAAAACTCCAGTAGCTTGGCGCCAACTGGTGCCACAATGGCGCCACTTGGCGCCGGTTGTCTGGGAATTTCTACACCTATTTTCTTAGAAAATGCGTAACTTGAGCTACGGTGCTCCGATTTGAGCGCGGTTTGAACCTACGCGTTTAGTGTTTAGTGTTTAAATAACAATAAAAGTGATTTTTATTTTAAAGGTGCAAGGACATCAATGCCGGACTAAGTGCAGGTAGGTAGAAAACGTACAAAGGAGGGTATAATTAAATGGGTTTATGGGAACCCTGTGAGTCTTATAGTAAGTGAAATAAATTATGAAAGTAGTTGAAAAAAAAGGTCTTCCGCAATGGGTTATAGTTACGGTCACGACTTTTATTTATTACACTTTTAAGATTTAAATGTTCGCGTAATAAACGGAAAAAGTTTACTCGCATGTTCAGAAATGAATTGTTGTGATTATAACTACGCTAAATACCATAATTAATGTTAACAATACCGGTGTACAACGGGTTGTTACACCACCTGTATAAAATTTTTCCATTGCTAGCCCCTTGAGCCTGAACTTATTTTGTTGATAAATGACTTGTGGCCTGACTGATGGCTTAGCCTATATCCATGTGACTTACCTTGATTGAGATTGAATCACTGATATGTTGAGAAATAAAACAAAGAAATGGAGGTAAGCTCCACAAAAGTTAAGTGATTAGAGGATGTAGATTTCATCTGTGCCCTTATAAAAAAAGGGGAAAAATGAAAGAGAAAGAAAAAGGATAAATATGCATAAAAGGTGGCTAAAAGGAATTAATTCCCGAAATTTTATGGGAATGTTAGTAGAATAAAACCATTGAGTTGAATGTGTTAAAGTGAAAAAGTATCAGTTTTTCAATCTCATTGTTATTGAGCTACTATCCATATATTCCTACCCTTTAACCCGGCCAAGTTACAACCTGTGAAGTCCTTTTGATCAACTGGTGCATGTGTTTGATTCTTCAATTTTGAGAATTTTGAGAATATGATCAAGCCTATGGTAGTGTTATAGCTGTGATTGATTGAGTGCTCATGATATCCTTAAACACTGAGTCTTGAGTGAACATTATTTATCTGTGTGAGGGGTAATCAATGTAGACTTGTATCTTTAGAAAGCTGATGACATTGTTGGAAATGTATGATATTGGGTCAGTCATGCATAGCATATTGTATTTGAGAGTGTCTATGTATGGTTATGCTGGATTAATTGATTGTTTATGGATTGAGTCTTGTACATTGCTGAGGACAGCAACGTTTAAATATGGGAATGGTTTGATGTGCCTCTGACAGATGTAGTTTTTCAGGCTAAAAATAATGAGAATTAAGTCATAGAAGAGCACTTTTTATACATATTTGTTTATTATATTGACTTTTCCATCTCAATGACATTTCTCACCTATTTGTTATGTTTAAATAGGGAGAAGAGGTGGAAACTACGAAAAGCTTGGTGATTCGACTCTACACGGGTGGAAATTCCATGCTACATCGAATTGCTGGGCAAAAATTGCAGAGAAGTGGCGCAACTTAGCGCCACACTGGCGCAAGTTAGCGCCGCGTGCCCAGGCCAAATACCAAAGAAATGGCGCGGTTTTGCGCCGCATTGCATGCTCCTGAGATGCATCATATTTTGCCAGGCCAAATACCAGAGATCTGGCGCGGTCTTGCGCCACAAAGGCGTGGACCCGCGCCATTTTGCAGGAATTACATGCCGTGTTTTTAAAAAGGACAGTTTTGGGAGAAAAAAACAAGGGCTATTTAAAGGCTGTTTTTGACAGAACTGGGGATTATTCGATTCCTTGAAAGAGATCAGCAGTCGCGCTCGGAGAGTGATTTCGGTGGAGATTTTGTTCATCTTGTTCTTCCAATTCCATTTATCAGTGTATGTTGAATATTGATATTTCAGCCATGATCATGGTTGGCTAGGTACTTTTTATTGTAGTTAGGGTCACAAACCCTATGTGAACCCTTGTTACAACGGATTGATTTACATTTACTCGTTTATATATTTATCTTTATTTCTACTCTGTGCGTAATTTCTATCCTCTTTATTAGAACTGATCAATCTGATAGTTAATGATAGTTTGAGGGTTAGAACCCTAGATAGGAATATTTGGATTTTTAATCTTGAAAGGGAGTAGGATAACAATTGGTATGCGTGCTAGGAATAGACGTATATTTGATTGCAGATGCTTAATTTATCGTATTCATTGCTTAAATCCACGAGGAACATTGCAAGGAATTGGGGTTCCAATTGGGGTTAAAGGTTTAATCTTGCAAGGAATTAAGGGTTAACTACTAATATTTTTAGATGATAATTTATCTGAATATTTATGTAAATGAGTATTGTAAATCAATCCAGAGTAAGAAGCGGGGATCATTTGATAAGTGTACGCTAGCTACAATGCTTTCTCATATCTTTACAAATCAATCTCTGTTTTTATTTATTTCATAACGAAATTTCTAAAAATACGTTTTTGCATTTAGTCTTATTTTTACTCAAATCAACAACAATTGTCACACACCTATTTGAATTCCTTCCATCTTAAAAGGACAATTATTTGATATTGGATCCCAATCTCTGTGAAGACGATACTTTCTTATCATTCATTATATTACTTGTGCGATCGTACACTTGCCGGTAAGCATCAACTTCATATAATCATAAATATATAAAGTAATAAAAAGTTTTTAGGATTATAATTTTATATATTCTTTAGCGTAAGAGATATTTATTCGTCTATAGCTTTTCATGATTTTTTATTTATTTTTTACTAATTGTAACATTTTTTTAATTTGAATAATATTACTAGTCGTTTAGTTAACATGAGTTGAAGGTTTATTCGGTTTAGTCAAATATGCCCAGCTGGTCTTGGTCCACTTGCACTTATCCAGTAGATGCAAAATAAAAGTTTATATAATCCAAATTAAAGGGATTCTGGATTCATAACAATTGAGCAAGCTAGTTGTGCAATTGTAATTTGCAAGTTAATTATTTACCAGCATTTTTCTTGATAAACTACTCCAAACTTGTTTCAACGTCACACTCCTTTATTCTGTCGGGCAAGGGCATGTTAATTGACTCGTTAATGAACTGGGAATTATTTGAAGTTTGAATATGACATGCATGTTACTAAAACAAAAGGTAATTAAAAAAAAGTTAGTGTTTATCATTTTAAATAACACAATTTTGTGTCATTTTTTAAGAAACTATGTCATTTTGGTGTGTTTTGTAATTTTTTTAATTTACAAAATTAGAAATAAAAAGAAAATGGAGGAGAGAAAATGTAAAAACTTACCAAAATAACATAGTTTTATTAAAAATGATATAATTTTACGTCATTTAAAATGATAAACATTTTTCTCTTAAAAAAAATATAAATAAGAAAGATAGGTAAAGCAGTAGTTTTATTATTGTATCGTGGTCTCTTTTAAGCTTTAAAGTTTGTTAAATTACAACTGAATATATGATAAAAGTTATCTTTATCAAGAGTTATAATTTGATATGATCTCTTTGGGGTTATCGACATCCAAATAACTATATTGTCTAGAACACTCTCCCTCATATGTCTAATAAAATAATATAATTCGCTTTAGACCTTATCAGGAAAAAACTAAGTGGAAAAAATTGTATACGATTCTAGTAATACTTATGGTAAACTGCTTCATTAAAAGCTTGTTTGTATTGATTTATCAAAAAAAGTCATTTTTATGACTTCCTTATTTTAAAAGTACTTTATATAAAAGTTATAGCTATTTAGATTTTTAAAAAATATTTCATTTTTTAAAAAAATATTTAGTTTTTGACTTCTGTTTTTTTTAAAAGCTAAACTTTTTAGCTTATGAAAAAAAAGTAGGTTTTTGATATAACATTATTTAATGTTTTTGAGTTTGCGCATATAATCAGCTCTTGCAACAATAATAGCTGCTGCTTTGTTATAGGCTACAATGAATAGCTGCTCCACCTTTTTCCAAGCTTTCATATCGAAGTACCAATCTGTCATGCTAGTTCTGTGGTTCACTAGTTGTTGGGCATTCAGTTGATTATATCAGAAACGGTTCCGTGAAGAGGATGGGCCAGTACAAATCACTTCTGTCATCTTTAAGCCTCTTGAAGCTATAAGAGTGCCATCTTGGAGAACACCTTTGTAGACATTTCCAAAACCACCCTTCCCTAATATGTTTTTGTTGCTGATATAGCACCTAGGGAAGCAAATATATTGCTGCAAACTTCAATACAAATGACCATGTAGAATATATCAAAGAAAAACATGTGGGAAAGTTATGTAAGGAGAAATCATTCAATTTAAAAAATAACCATGACCAATTCTGAAGGGATCTTACCCCCAGTACTGTTCAAGTTCATGGACATTGGCATGAGAGTCATCCCAGGGCACTTTGATCTTTTTTCTGTGGCACAGACAAAGGGGTTCCAACAATACTGAAACAGCACAAAGGAATGGTAAGAATTTTGAAGTTAATACCAAATTTCCTGTACAATACTTGACCAAATAGGACATAGAAAGGTTCAAATAATCATATAAATTTTCAATCTGATATGAAGAAAACAAATAAAAGATGAATTGTGATCATCTAATCAATAACAAAAAACTTCTGCAAGTAGCACAACCTTGTCCAAGATTCCAAAAGATAAATATTACCTTGTAATGCTTCTTAACCTGGTAACCCCTCACATGAGCCTGCCCACATAAAATAGATATAATTGAGGTTGATAATAATGCTGTTGAAGTTCAAAGTAAGCATGTTCACGTGCATGCCTACCAATAACTGTTCTTTTCTTTTAAAATCAACTGTATTCATTTTTTAGAGTGTCTTTAAGTGCTAGTTATATATACAAATACTTCTGATAGCAGATTGTATCCGTGCAGCTGCCAGAGTTACATTTCTGATAGCAGCCAAGGTATCTTTGAGTGAAACCTGATCCTCACTGGAAGCAAGGTTTTCAATGGAGACACTACTAACAGTTAAATCTGCTTGAAGCTCAGCAGAATTTTTATATAGCTCACTCTCTTCCAGTGTAAGTGATGAGAGATGACTCGTTAGAGATACCTCTGAAAGATATCCTGCCAATCCCTTATGCCCACTGTTGGCTGCAATAGATGCAGCAGTTTTGTCGATTGGATCTTGTGCACTTTGATCTGTCACTGCTCCAGCAGATGCACCAGAAGCTATAAGCGAAGCAACCATTTTTTCCCTATATGGAATAACAAATACTTCAGTGAAACAACATCCAGAATACTTTAACATGGAAGAATTAATCTAAACCATTAGAAGGTGCACTTGAGGTTTAAAAGCTCGCAATTAAAACACAGTTACACCAATGGATGGTGATAGCACATTCATGAGAATGGCAACATATTGCAATAACTATAAAACCTTGGATAACACTTAACAGATTGCAAGAAGATAGTACCTCTTCTTCAAGTTTCGCATGTTTTGGATCAAATTCAAATTCAAAACAACTACAGCATGCTAATGCTGCACTTTTCATATAAACCCTATAAATCCCTTAAACCTTTGCCAAAAATCCTAATCTTCCCCCAAATCGATTTTACCTTACTCGCCAATTGTCTATTTCAGGCGTCTACTACAGAACCCGAGAACCAAGATATTGAGCAAAAACGCTTGTACCAGTCATGCAAATAAAATAACAGAGCAACGATCTACGCTTTTAATTTCTCGAGAAACTGAAGCTATAGGTGAAACAATCGGGGAATTCCCCTAGAAATTGCAATGCAAACTTTGAATTGGAAGAAATGAAGATATCCAGATTGCTCGAGCGCGATGAAAATGTGAACCTGGTTGATCCTTTTGAACTGTACGAAAGCGTGGAATCGAATCGAATGTCACAGTGGATCTCCCCAGCTTGTTTCAAACGACAGCGTTTTAGGGTGGTGGTCGAGGGGGTAACGGTGCGGTAGTGGTCGTCGTCGTTACTTTTTCAGAGTAAGAAAGACGACAAAGATGAGGTCCAAGTTCATTAAAACATGAAAATTGTAAATAAATAAAAAATAGAGAGAGAAAAAAAATTACAATGAATAAGGGTGGAAGTCAGATGGAGAAAAAAAAGAGTAAAAAAGTTTTATTTATGTTTTGAATCTGAACCGTTAGATGAGATTGTAATCCAACGATGTTGAGAGGGGTAGACAAAAGGTAGACAAATTGAGAGTAGGTAGAATAACCTATCCCAAATTAGATATCATGTTTGAGATATAACTTTTTGTTCATCGTATAAATATCATCCATGATTCTAGTGTCTTCATTTTGGAAAGAATTAAATCTTATTAATAGAATTATAATGAGAAGGTTTAAAGACAAAGGGGAGCTGAGCTCCCAAGGGATTGCTTGGTGCATGGATCAAACCCTGCTTCAAGCAGTTTCTTGGAAAATCTTTGGGGCCAGAGGATAAGTCAAAAAATCTTCGGTTGGAGGATTAGTCTCGTCTTTTCTCCGGTTGCGAAGCTTAGTGCACCCACTGTTACAATGAGGGGCTAGCCCAAACGGGCCGTACCCCGAGGGCATGGTGCCCGGAGAAGGTTGAATGGGGATAGCTCCTGGCAATGTACCCAAAAAAAATAAAAATAAAGGGGAGAAGATGTATGTTAGAAGATGAAAGATCCACTTTATTACAAATTTCATACCTCCCCTACGAGGACTTGGAGAATCTTTTGGAGAAGTCCTAACCGAGTTAAAACTGTGAGGATTATCCCTTGCAGTCACAAAAACTTAAACTTTAAATTATTTTTATGAACTTTTAAATTTTTTTGTTTTGTTGTAAACTTGAATATTCAAATATATATTATTTTGGGGTAATTTATTGTTTAATTTGTTGGTGTATCAGATGGGCTATTGATATTAGTCTATGAACTGATAATTATTCGATTTTGTTTCGTGACGCGAATAAGTATAATTTCTTCCATAGAAAACCAATAACTAGAATAGTAATAGAAGTAAACAAAAAAAAAAAAATTTAAACTTAATAATTAGTACACTTACTGCGGTCATTTCTAAGAATCGGTCCAACTAATCATCAAATTGATCCATTATAGAGTGTAAGATGGACTAATCTTACTCATTATATATTTGATTTACCAGTCAAACAATAAAATCTTTTCATCTTTAACACTCGACTACAATGTGCCACCAACTTTGTATTAAAAGTGACACGTGCCGATAGATGATAGGTCCTAGAAGATTATAAAAGGGTCATGGCATTGCTCTATTATTTGCACCATTCGATCATTATTGAACTAAAGAGCCAACATGTCTCCCAAGCACTTGTCACTGTGTCTGCTAGTAGTACTTGGATTTGTGCTTCTAGCCACCACTTCTCTTGCCGATGGCTATCATGACCATGACCATCATGACCATCATGACCATGATCATCATGGCTACGAGCCTCCCTATAAGAAGTATCCTCCGTTCATGAAGGAATCCAAGATGGAAACTTCAAAAGTGGGTTATACTACTCTTGACCATCATGACCATGACCATCATGACCATGACCATCATGGAGGAGGGCATGGCCACAATCCTCCCCATGAGAAGTATACTAAATCCAAAAATTAAGTGCTCATAAAGCTACCACTTTTGATGAAATATGCTTTGAAGAATTTGAATTGAATAAAAGCATTTTATGCTATTTAGTCTTGTAATATCTTTAGTGAAATTTGGCTTGTTTAAAGAATAAATTTGCCATGTATGCAATCATATTTTCTATTTCCTTCCAGTTATGTAAACTAGTGGAATAGCGAAGCTGCTACATGATATTGTTGAATAATAGCTTGAGTTTTTGTTTGAAGTGACGTGCATAATTTGAACTGATGCTGTGAGCTAGAGTTTTGTAGAAAGATTATGTGTTCACACCAAAGCTTAATACTCCATGTTTGTGAATGTGTTCATATGTTAATTTTATTTGAACGATAACAATACACAATTTGTTTCTATACAAGAATGGAAATGGATCCTATCATGTTAAAAAAACCATTACCAATTGATAGTGAAGGCAAGACTGTTACCACTATCAGTGAATTTGTGTCAATTAAATTATGCTCAACAAATTCTATTCTCACTCAGAAAGATTGAGTTCGGTGCTAAGCGCTAAGCGAAGTATTCTTTTAGGAGAGGACAAAAGTTTCAGCTCTTGAAAAGTTAATTGTGGGGAAAACCATATCAATCTATACCTAATGAGACTAATTAGTCTCGCATCCAAAGGTTATTGTAGCCTAAGCACAGATTTGTCCAAGCAACTTAATTTAATTCCTTAAAAATTGTGGGTCAACAACCTCCTTCTTCTTCTTCTTCAAAATACCTTCTTTTATGGCCTCCAAGATATGTCAACAACCTCTCTTTCATCCCTCTTCATCCAAAAGACATTGAAGATTCTATCTCTTTACTTTGCATCTAATGGCGACTCTTTTACAAGCTCCAAATGGTCTTAAACGTGTTTTCGTACTCTCTTTTTTTCTCTTTCATGTGGTTGGAGGCTGCATTTTGTGGTGTCCTCACTTTCTTTCTCATTTTTTGTTTTTGTTTTTATTTTTTTATTTATTTTTTATTTTAGCAACTTTAGGGTTGTTGGGAGGGAACCCATTCTTTCTAGCTTTTTTTTCAGTTATCCATACTGTTTTCAGCATAAATTTTTCCTCATAATATCTTCATATTTTGCTTTGGGCAAGTACTGGGCTCTCGGCTGCCTCAATATGCTAAAAACTCAAATTTCATTATTTTTCTGCACAAAAATGACATCAACAAATAAATCTGTCCAAACAACCTATTTTTTTATTTAAAAAAAATTCTTAATTCTTCAGGTGCTCTAACATTGTGTCCGCAAATTTTTATTTTCATTTTTTTTAAATATTGCTATTTGTGCATAGTTTTGCTTAAATTTTATTTGAATGACAACAACAAATAACCATATTCTAAAACAATGGTGCGCGGCAGCCGAAAATCCATTGAAAAGGATACATTTATCAATTTATCAAGGCAAAAATGTTTCCGCAGTTAATGCAGAGAAGTTATCTGCATTTATTCCCAAAACGACGTCGTTTTGGTATTGAAATCTTAAAAAATTATAAATATTAAGACTATTATAACCCTAAAATAAATTAAAATTACAAAAACACCATGATTTCCGTCCCAAAACGACGTCGTATTGGCTTACTGCAAATAACTTATCTGCAGTAACTGCAGAAAAAACGAACTCATTTATCAATGAATCAAATGAACCGAAACCTCGTTGCAATCCAAAACCTTAAACTTATAAGTTTATGAGTATTTCGCATTTATACAGTGTAAGAATTCATACCGTTAAATTAAGAAATTGATGAGTTAAATTTGATGTAAGAAATAATTCCATAATTAACTTTGGATAAATATGAAAAGAGCATGATAATTAATATTAAGTCACTTTTCAGAAGAAAAATGCAAACATCGGGTATTTCACATATAAATAGATACTGGTGAAGTAACTCGAAAAATAGTGATAAAAATATTAATAATCCTAGAAAAATATATAGGTTAAGAATATCAAGTTTGGGGTAAAAATAATAAATTGTGATGTCAGAACCAATACTGGCTATTTTGCAGTATAAAACACGTACCAGTGAAGTGTCTTGAAAAGTTAATATAAAAATATGATAATTCCTAAAAAAATATCTAAGTCAAGGATCTAAAATTTTAGAGTTAAACGAAGAGCGAAACTAATTAAACTAATATTGTTGGTTTAAGTGTGTGCCACTGTAGATAGTAATAGGCACTAAACCTTAAGTCAGTTTACAAACTTCTATGTACACCATCCTCTCCATTTCCTCTCACGGCAAAAAATATTCTCCTCCTTTAGGGTTTCATCATTTCTTCAAGAAAACAACCAAGACTCTACTTTTATTCATCATTTGATCATCCAAACCTTGTAAACACTTGAGAGCAAGCATTTTAGAGGAGAAAAACCCATTCTTGAAGGGTTTGAGATTCTGTTTGGTGAGGTTGAGCGGTTGTTCTCTTTTATTTGGGTTGTTAGAGCCATTTCTACACACTTTGGAGCTTCAAGGAGACACTTTTGTGGAAACAAATTAACCTTTACATGATCAAATTTCGTGCACCTTGCTGGATGGTCATAGAGAGAGTGTTGAAGCCTTAAAAGTCCCTTCCTTTTGCTGTCTTGAAGCTCATGGATATATACCTCAGCACTTCCCTTAGTGTTTTCATGGAAATAACATGATTTGAAGATGTAAAATTATGAGTTTTGATAACTTGAACGTTGGTTGATGAACCTTGTAACACCCCGTGTATACCCGGTTTGTTATCATATCATTGTATTAAGCTACACTTAATTAAAATGTGGAATAAACTTTTTCTTTTCAATTATGACGTCATTATCAATTACCAAGTTGTTTACTTAATCCTTTTTCAAAATAATGCCTGTATGTAATTTTTAATAAAACATCTAACTGAAATACCTTAATGTATAAATAGGTGAGTATCCAAGTCACGGAACTACAACACGTAGTCCGGACATTAATCGTGATACATTAATACAACTGGAATCTAAAATAAGTCATAGTCAATCAATGTGGCATGGACAACCCTCATGCTCACCAAATAAGGCAACAAAGCCCAACAGAGTCTCAACAAAAACAACATGATAAGAAATATAAAGCAGGTCAACATCCAAGCATAATCCAAGCCTATCATCATAAAGCATAAATCTCAACTCAGCTACGGCCTCCTGCCGCCCGATGTAAGAACCAACACCGTTAATTAAGGAAAATAATTAATTAAATGTGTGAAATTAGGAAATAATTCCATAATTGACCTTAATAATTATGAGAAGGCTTAAATGAATATAGAAAGTGATTAAGAATGCTGAAAGTCGCTTTTCTGACGAAAAGTGCAGATACCGATTCTGCTACTCAGTATAAATGTGTACCGAT